TGACATTTTGTTCCAATATCACGTATTGAAAATAGAAGCTTCGAAGATACGGGCACCGATTCTTCTAGCGGGACAAACAATAAAACGTATAGTTTTGTACTGTTGCCCAACGCTGTAAAGCTGTAAAATTTATTAAGGTCTTATAAATAATAAGTTAAATAATTATAATTTAAATAACTCACATCTTCAGTGATTATTCATAGCGAATAAGTAACGCAATTAGTTACTTATTTACTACGCCCGTGCTTTCGCTTCTAATTACCATATCACTTCTTTGTAGATTGTAATCAAAGCGAAAGCACGGTATCTCCTTACCTATAAACAAAAAGCACTCACTATATAGACTATAGTGCACTCAGACTCATGCGATGGGGGGAGGTAGCTCATCGATTCTTCCGGTTCGCCTCCTAGCATCGTGCTATAAGGTACCAGGCGATAACCAGGGTAGTTGATCGATAGCTCGATGACGTCATTTCGTTGGCGTCTGCTATGGGAAATTCTCATAGCAGGCGTTGACGATGGGACGTTGTCGAGTTGTTGAATAGCAACTATCGTGCTAACTCACCGATTACCTGTCGATCTGCCAAATTTGGAAAGACGTCTGCATTGAATTGTCTCATATAATAATATTCCGCCCACTATATCACACGAAATTGCGAGTAGTTGAGTGGAATGGAGATAAGTTAAGCATTGGGTACAGGACCAAGTCTCCCCTGGGTGGTGCCAGAAGATGAGCGCAATAGAATCATCAAGTTGCCATAAGGCACGGAATGAGACAATTGCATGGCTGGGTAGTCAAAGTCTTCCATTCGTTAGTCATTTCAGGTGGATTAGAACAGGTTTAGGTTTAGGGTGGGCGTTGGCCAGATTTGGATTTTTCAGATATAATCCTAAATAGGACCTAGATTATTTAATACACTAGTAACCTCAACTTCTGTCACAATGTTTCATTGTGACTAATCAACACTCAATGGGTAAAATATCAAATTTGCGGTAAATTTGAAAAAAAGGGAACTTGGAGTGTAGAGTGCACTGCCCACTGGACGATTCTGAAGCCTGACCAAGTGAGTGGGTTACGGGTTTATTTGATTGTACGTCATTTCCAAGTTATATATAGATACATTCATACCATTGGCATTTTGTATTTGAGATAAGACAGAGACAGGCTGCGGAGGGCCCGCTTAGGGGGAGCGTAACCCATGTTATGGCTTCCATTTATTAAATAGTTCAGATAGGCTGGAAATGATAGGTTCATGGTGAGAAAATGTACCATATGGTGCCCGTTCACTGATCAAAATTAGATTCAAATCGTCAGGCCCTGCCCTGGAATAAGGGAATTGACGATGATTTGTCAAGTTTCATTTTGCATTTGCATATAATTGTAAGTTTAGGTTTGCTTTTGTAATTGTAAGATAGATAGTTTGCCTCAATTGAAACATTGAGTTAAACATGACGAATCATACCTCTAAAATAGTAGTAGTTACAGTGCCGCATTATCTAACTTTTGTTTTGTTTGTTTACATATAACTAATACTAATACCTCCTTGTTTTCTCTCTAATTTGTCTACTATGTCCCACCATCACGATGAGAGATGAGCTACCGTACATGGTACACGCTCATATACACTCCCAAAATAGTATGCCGCAAGTAAGTATATCACAGAGGCAACTAAAGATCCAGAAACAAAAACCGAAAACGCTTTACGGCAGATTGGTTTACAGTGGTCGACCAGGGTGTGTGCGGATAAATTACAAAATTACAATTAGGGTAGATGTACCAGTTGTGGCTGTGCGTTCCTGTTGTGGTGTGTTCCAATCATGGCCTATGGAAATCCTATATGCCATGGTTGGAACACATCATAATAGGAGCGTATAGCCGTGACTGGTACATCTACCCTACATCATTATTCCATACATCAGCTTGAATTACGTTGATCGATATTACATTTTTTTTGCTGTGCACTACACCACCGGAGCCAGCAAAGTTCAACAATCCATCGTTGCTTATGCCTTTGTTGTCGTTTGGAACCAGTTTTGCGAGGTAGGTGACGATTGTGCGTATTTCTCGCGTAAATTTTGAAAAGGGCCTAGCCTGAACAATACGTAAAGAGCAAATTGAAACATTGTACGTCGCGTGAATGTGGAACTTAATGAAGGCCTAAGTACTTTTTCGTAGTTTTTAGTTTTCGGATTTGAAAGATCGTCGGTTACAGTGGCCTGCTTACTGAGCAGAAAAACGCGGTCCCAGGTTCTTACATATCAAAGAGATTTATAGTAAAATCGCTTGTGTATCGTGTATTTTGCGAAACTCGTTGTTGTCGTTGGTTCCGGGTTTGAATGGATACAAAAATTTGAGCAACGGTATTATGTGATATGAGGGGCTCGGTGGCCTTAGAGCAACCGTTTTTGCTTACTGAGCAGAACATCATGAGTCTAATCTCAGGCCCATCCACAATCAAGATTCGTCAATCGTTTTATTTGTTAATATGACTACATGGTAATAACAGCAACTCGGTGATTAAAAAGGTGCTCGTCTGCCTAGTGGCAAACGTTTTTGCTTACTGAGCAGAAGACCGTGGGTTTAGTCCCAAGCTCCTTTGCGTTATATGATCGTTAGGACATTAATTCAGCTTATCGTTTACCAAAACGAACCCTGCTGCAAACCCAACCCTATTATCCAACATCCCAGTGATTCCTCGTGGAAGTGCAGAGGTGTTCTCGGCTTCCATCAAAGCGAGTGTCATGTCAACACAATCCTTCCCATTCCTTTCTTGACCTGTGTTCGGGCGCGGCCGGCGCTGGTATTGCCTAATTCAAGATCACCAGTTTTTACACATTGAGGATGATTGCTAGTCCCAAGCATCGTCTATTGGTTCTCTGTGTAATTACAGCTGATCTGGCAATAACAGAGTAGCAACCGTGGGCGGTCAATCAAGCTCAAGCTCAAGCTCAAGCTATAGTGCACTCAGACTCATGCGATGTTCTTGGTGAGGGGTGAGCCGATGCGTTTTCACGCTACAATCACGCGTGATATTGAGAGCGTATGAGAGCGGAAAAATATAATTTGATTGATGATTTTGCCAACACTGATAACCATGTATTTTTGATTTTCATGATTCTCCTAAAACCAAGTAGGTATAGGGTGATGGCACTAGTGGTTTTCTAATTGGCCATAGGTTCTAAAACAGCGCTGTCCAACGTGCGGCCTGTAGTCTCTGGATCTCAGCAATGATATCATTCTAGTCCAATTTTATTCATCATTATGAATTTTAGCCCATAATGAATGAGAAATGCAGCTTGAAACATGGTCACCGAATATAGATACAGTCAATTAAAAAACCAAGTTTAGAAAGCTTGGGCAGACCTGGCCTAAAACCTTTAAATAATCATTAAACTTAAAGTTTTTTACCACAGAATGTTAGTTTCAGTGCTGCTCTGCATGCCTACGTTGAAAAATTTGGAAGAACTTAATTTTAACTTGATTTAGGTCGGATGGACAATTAGGGGAGCACTAGTGCCATAACTGGTACACTTCCTCTATTATTATTCCGTTCCAACCTGGATCGGGTATCGAAATTGGGTCTGCTTGTTTTCTGACAAACGTCAGTTTACTCGTTTATTTTTAAAACCTAGCTCAGGTTGAGGTTCCCACTGACAAAAAGTTCGGTTTCACACTGGGTTGGAACTGGTGTTAACCCCGATAATAAACGAATTCGCTATTAGTGTTCCACAGTTGTCAATTGGGAACTTTCTATGGCTGTAGCATTTTGGCATTTGTATTAATGTGTGGCAAGTACAATCATGCTCAGGGAAGTCGAGACATTTTGCCGCCTCCAGCAACTGGAGGAAGGGAGGCCCCAAACCTGGGATTGAAATCATGTGCGAGCACCCTGAGTAGAAGCTTTTCGGAATCACAGTAGACACAATCCACGATCAACACAAATTGCTCATCCTCACTTCAACTCACGAGCATGAGTGCTTAATGTTATGCTTGAGCATTTGCTCTTAAATACGCCTATTATCCATTTTTTGGTTACTCAGATTTTAATTTAATGTAGTGATGATGAATAACCCAACAAACAATTTTAGCTGCAGATTAGCTTATACAGCAAAAAATTGGCTTATACAGCTAATTTTTGCCTGTATAAGCTAGTCTGCAGCTAAAATTGTTTGTTGGGAACTTCAGGTTCACATGAATTCTGCTCCATATCAGAAGGTGTGGAATAAAGCTAAAGCTCATGCTCAATGTTTGCACCGAGCATTGTTTGCTTTATCACTGATTGACAGGTTTCCCCGAGCAAGAAAACTCATGGCTTTTGTTACCGATTCACAGAAACTGGAACAATATATCGAAATCTGTTCGAATTTCTAGTTACTTTTTTTATTCAGTAGTGTTAGATTTTCATATTAATTAAAACTTTTCTTTTTGGGCTGGTTCTTATAATTATATTGAAAACTGCAAGTAAAATATAAATATAATTTGATACCTAGTATTGTTAAAATGAATTTAAAAATAATTCTACTATGGAGCCACCGCCTGAGGTTAATTGTTATAAAAAACCTTTGTTGGAGTAATACGGATCAGAAAGGGAATTGGAGTCATCATATCACCACTAGATCCGGGAGTGAAAAGGATAGGATGGGATCGAAGAGGAAAAGAGAGAGGAGATGGATGGCTTGGATAGGAGTGGATCGGGAAGGCCTCGTTGACTCTTGTCGAGACTTGGAAACAAGGAAGTAGTTATTGGCAATCCCTCACAAAAAGTGAGGGAAGTTCGGTCGATTTGGTGCCAGTGACGCTCAGACGAACTAAATCGTGAGCGAGTGGATCGGTTACTTAGCAAGTTCGCTTTCAAGTGTCGGCAATTGTGAGGTCTGCTATACACCACGCTATAAATAACATTTTCTAATAGTGTTCCACTGAAAAAGTATGAATTTAGAGTAGAATATACCTACTAGATACACAAAAATTTCTCATCTTAACCTTTCACCCCATCAAGGTTCCGAGCACGCGGTCCCAAGATCCACCGAAAACAGAACCTATCGCAGGTACCGAGGGGCCCTATTGGTACACCGGAGGATCCTCAGGCCGACCCGTACGATGATCCGAGCTATGACTTCCAATTCAAAACACGAAACTACCAGCGTCGAGAAGGGGCAGATAGCAACGGACGGGTGAATGGATTGTACACCTACGTGGATGATGTGGGAGAGCAGCATTCGGTTCGGTACTCGGCTGGTTCCGGAACCGGATTTGAAGTGGCCAACCCAGTCCCTGATGCACCCAATACGATAGCTTACGAGAGCCCATTGTATAAGACACACAAACAAGTCCGAGGCAAGGTGGCCTTCGAAAGTGGTCCCAGCGGCTCTGGGCAGTACAAGTAGGAACTGTTTCAATACTGAGTTGTAGTGGATTAAATGAATGAAATTTTTCTGTTGTTTTAGGCTGTTATCCGTTGGGCCAGATCAGCGACGATCGGAAACGACCGGACCAGACGGAATAACGCGTGGTTCATATTCTTACCTGGACGACAAAGGAGTACAGCGAACGGTGCAGTACATCGCTGGAGCAGGAATCGGTTACAAAGTAGTTCAAAGTACGACTGGAGCGGGAAGCCATCTACTTGCTTCGCCGGCCACAAACTTTGGAATAAGTCACGTGGAACAGAGCGATGTGGTGGATAACAACAATCCAAGCTATAGTGCGAGTCCTTCGGGCCCTGCCTCCTTCCCAAGTGGTGGTGACCGAACAGGCAGCGGATCAAGGCCGACTGCAGCAGGATACGATGGTGCACGCCCAACCGGTCCCGGTTTTGACGGTTCCAGGCCAACTGGTAGCGGATACGATGGTGCAAAGCCCGAGCACGATGGATACGACAGTGGCCGACCATCGGGGCCAGCATTTGATGATGATTTCGACAGGAAGAGACCAACGACGCCACCCAGTAAAGTTCCTTCCAGTACAGATCGACCGGATCCTAGCGATACTAAGGTACGTTTCCCCGATGATGATTCCGATTATGGAGGAAAACCACAAGATGATAGTATTATTGGTCTCGTTCCACCTAAGTACGACTATGAACCAACGGAAGAACCACCACTATCAGGACCGTTCGACATCAGCATCTCCAGTGGACCATCTGGCCCGTCGGGACCCGGCTATCCGAACTTTGACGAGTCGGCTCCGGGAGCTTACAATTCCAACGATTTCACCAACTATCCGGAGGTTACCTATGACCGTAAGAAGCTGGAAGAGGACCGAAAGAAGGATTGGCGTGAGTTTGCCAAGGACTCGACAATAATCAAAAACGTAGGCGATTGGTACGTGGGATTGGCACCGGGTGCCTCCGTGAGAGCTCACATTCAAAATATAGATCTATTGCCATATGGAGGACGGGCACCTTCACCAAGCGAGGCACTGCGAAGGGACACCCAGTCCAAACCAAAGCGACCGTCGCCGTCGTCGCCGTCGGCGTCATCATCATCGTACGAACGAAGGCGGTGAGATTGATTGATGTATATTTACAATAAAGATTGAAAATCCAATCGAAGAGAAATAGCATTGTAAATAAATTATTACAGTACCAACCAAATACACACCGGTGCTTTTAATCGTCGAAAGATCATCTCACAATTTATCAACCGTATGGTTTTCGGTTCCTTCCGCTCAAAGCATGCGTGACGTGACACACATTGTTCCAAATGACCACTCATCACGTTCAAGTCACTCACGTGTAACTGCGCTCCCTATCGGCATCGTAAAAGTTCTTCATCACAAACTTGACCAACCATTGCATTGTTTTCTTCTTGGCAGTCTGCTGAAAGGTAGGTGTTCGAAATTATTCTTCTGCCGTGCCGTGCATTCAGCCTTCAGCAAATGCAAATGAACAGTGTTGACCTTCATGGCTTTCAGCCCTAGGTATCTGAATTAGAATTTTATGCTGTCGAGATGTGGGCACAAGTGTTGCTGGATCTGGAACAATATCGTTTTCGATTTTCAATTAATATAGTTGATTCATAGTTCACATCGATCAGCCAGGTGATTGAGAGAACTGGTATGCCCAGTAATAGGTAATTGAAATGCATCGGATATGTAACACATTTCGCACCTTCATATTTTCTTAAATAGTTAAAAACTAGATGATTTTAGATTTGTTTTATAACAGTTATCGTAGAATCATCCAGGTATCAGCAACTGGAAATCAGAGGAAGCCTAATTTTTCCGTAGCGTGTAATGTGCAAAAATTTGCATCACGTATTTGTCAGCTACTGACAAATAGATGTTGCCCTTGTTGCTGTTTTTATGTGACGATGACGCGTCTTCAACGCAACATAGCGTGAAATAGCGATCGCGAATGAAGAGAATGAAAAGTTCATCGTAATGATATTCTAATGAGAAAACGAGCGCCGGTGATTCAGTAATGAAGAAAATGTTCTATTGTGATGCATACAATTAAAACTCAATCACTCAATCGTTCCTAATTGGTGCTTTGTGTATACTGATATTGAACTATTCAATCGATGTGTATACATTGGATTTACCTAACAGCCGACAAGAAACAAACAGAAATAACATTTTCAATAAATAGTTTGTACAACTCATCTTCTTCTGGTTTCCAGTTCTGGCTAAAAAATCTAGATGACATCAAATTTATCATATTAACAATATGATCCATTCATGCCTTTTCCAAATGTTGCAATGGCGACCCGCAAAATATTGCTTCACGCACCATCTAGCGTTGAAAAAGGTCAGCAACAATCATTCAATTACAATCGAGGGGTGCGAATATAGCATTTATTACAAAAGTAAGAGTCAAATTATTTTCATTAATTACATTGTGTATATTACTTTACAATTTGTCTGATATGTCACTGTTGTCATCAAATAAAATAAAATGCTGAAACACATTCATTTGAAATATTAAACAAATTTTCATTTGGTTTACCCCTCAAGACGATAAACAAATACATTGATCGCCTTTTTGACCACAGAGGTGCTTTCATCGCTAAAAATTCGGTTCGCCAGCTAAGCGAAAGAGTGGATCATATTGTTAATATACTATATTTGATGACATTCTAGTCTTAGTGGATTGGAAAGAACACACACACTTAGTTCAAAAATTCACCGATCGTAAACATAACAGAAAACAGTTCAAAACAGATCACAATCTTCATGGTTCGTGAAACATGGCTGCACGAAACGGATTACGAATATATTATTGCAAAATGCTTCGTGGGTTTCCTTCCACCTGGTTGCTCCATCTTATCCCAACCCCAAAGTATCGCAAATGTGACAACGCCTTTAATGCGGTATTTTTTCACGAAAGGCCTGCTTTTTGTAAATATTATGAAATGCACAACTTTACCCAAGAAACCTACTTCCTAGGACGCTTTATTTAAAAGATGCTGTGATTTCTAGGCGGTAGGAACTACCTGTCGCGACCGTCCATTATTTCTTCCTCCATATGGAGGGTTTGATACTGGCTTGATTGATGGGCGCTACTGTCGAGCAGTCCCGGTCAGGGTATCACCCTGCGACTGATGATTAGATCTTCGAAGCCGCAGTGAGGGAAACTCTTCAAAAGCCCTCACTGTGGATGCCACAGAAGCTGTGGTTGCTGGATGGGCACTACTGTTGAGTAGCCTCGGCCCGGATGTTGATGCTGGATGGGCGCTACTGGTGAGTAGCCTCGGCCCGGATGTTGTTGTTCCTGGATGGGCGCTATTGTTGAGTAGCCTCGGCCCGGATGTTGTTGCTGGATGGGCGCTACTGGTGAGTAGCCTCGGCCCGGATGTTGTTGTTCCTGGATGGGCGCTACTGTTGAGTAGCCTCGGCCCGGATGTTGTTGCTGGATGGGCGCTACTGGTGAGTAGCCTCGGCCCGGATGTTGTTGTTCCTGGATGGGCGCTACTGTTAAGTAGCCTCAGCCCGGGTGTTGTTGTTGCTGGATGGGCGCTACTGGTTAGTAGCCTCGGCCCGGATTTGATTCACTGTCGTTGTTGCTGGATGGGCTCGTGATGGAGGCCCGCTGCTGTATTTGCTATCTGCTGCTGTATTTGCTATCTGCTGCTGTATTTGCTATCTGCTGCTGTATTTGCTATCTGCTGCTGTATTTGATATTTGCTGCTGTATCTGCTGCTGGTTCTTGGTGCTGCCGCTTCCAAGTCTGCCGTAATTCTCCTCGTTTCTTTTTTTTAGTTTAAATGATCTTTATTTTAGTTTAACTTGGACGATTACCATATAAATTTTTACTAAGTGATTTAATTGCTTTCTTCATCTTTAGGTATGGGCAAAATTCAAAATTTGTTTTACAGAATTAGTCCTAGACTTAGTACACGGTCGACCACCTTGGTGGGATTGGTTTGTTTTGTTTTTAGAATTTGAAGAGAAACTACTTAATACTACTACTTACAGCTTAAAACTAACCTACTCTACTATATACACTTAACCTACTATGTACAAATTGCTTATTAAAGCATGTTCAGAAAGATTGCATTTTTGAATAAATTTAGTTGTCATATCATCAATTTTGGAATCTACTTTGGGAATTTCTGCCTCTTGATGGAGGTCTGCTATTCTTGTGTCGAATGGACGATCTAGGATCATCCTCAACACTCTATTCTGTGCAACCTGGATTTTGTTCCTGTGGGTCTGAGCGCACGACTCCCACACCGGGGCGGCATAGAAGATCGCGGGGGCTATGATCTGTTTGTAAACAGCCAGTTTGTTTTGCCTTGAGAGGCGGGATCTGCGGCAAATGAGCGGATACAAACACCTAACCAAGGCGGAGCACTTAACTAGGGTTTTCTCTATGTGCGAGCGGAACAGGAGCTTCTCATCGAACAACATCCCGAGATAAGTAACATCAGTGGACCACTCGACCCTTGTACCATCCATTATTACGGTACAGGAGGGAGACGGTTTAAGTTTTAATGATTGTCTGTGAAGGAACATGATCGCTTGGGTTTTCGAGGCGTTGATTTTGATTTTCCACGTGGTGGCATAATCAGTAAAGGTGTCAAGGCATCGTTGGAGCTTGTTCGTAATTTCACGAGGCATCCTACCCTTGACGGCTATCGCGGTGTCATCTGCAAACAGAAAGAACACGCAACCGTCTCCTAGAGGAGGGATGTCCGACGTGTAGATGCTGTAAAGCAGTGGTCCCAGCAGACTCCCTTGCGGAACACCTGCTGGGATCGGAAATTGTCCCGAAAGGGAACTATTCAACGACACCCTGAACGACCTTTGCTGGAGATAGTTACGGGTGATTTTCACAAGGTATGGTGGAAAGTTGGAGTTACAAAGCTTGTATATAAGTCCGTCGTGCCAGACATTGTCAAACGCCTTTTCGACGTCTAACAAGGCCATGGCTGTGGACTTGGATACAGCTTTGTTACTTCGGATGTTATTCATCACCCGCACTAGCTGATGATTGGTGGAATGCCCCTTACGGAACCCGAACTGTTCCGGAAGAAGAATGTCATGTTCCTCCACAAACTTGTTTAGTCGGCTGAGGATCAATTTTTCGAACAGCTTGCTCAGCGCTGAGAGCAGGCTAATCGGTCTGTAGCTTGACGGTAGTGAAGGGTCTTTCCCAGGTTTGCGGATCGGGATGATTTTTGCCACCTTCCAGATGCTTGGAAAGTAGTGCAGCTCCAAGCATCTGTTGAGGATGGCAGCCAGCAGCGAGTGCACCCTCGCGCTGAGATTTTTCAACTCTAGGTTGAATATTCCGTCAAACCCGGGAGCCTTCATGTTCGTACTGTGTTTCAGCGCTGAGCAAATTTGTTCCTCTGTAATCCGTTCTTCTGGAGGGACGGCACAAGGGGAGGCATCTAACGTCTGGACGCACTGCACAACCTGGTTCTCGAGTGGACTTGGGATTGTAGAGCCAAGCAAATGCGACTGGGCAATGTGCTCCCCAATTGCATTGGCCTTCTCTTCGTTGGTGATAAGCCGTTCGTCATTGACTCTAAGTGGTGGAATGGGCTTGGGGTGAGACTTCAGCACCTTGGCAACCTTCCAGAATGGTCTGGAACGGTCGTCCAGGTTCTGAACGAGCCGCCCGAAACTCTCGTTCCGGATTGAGACCATTCTGGAAGCGATCTGCCGATTCAGATCGACCATTTCGTATTTACGCTGCAGATCCCCAGTCCGCTGAAACTGGCGTCTACGAACATTTCTGAGCCGAATCAAGAGTTTGGTGTGGGAATCAATTGCTTGAAACTTACCCCTCACAGGAACTCGTCGAACGCACTCTTCGTCAGCCACGGATATGGCTTGATGGAGACCCTCCAGGGCCCGGTCGATGTCATCCACTGTGTCGAGCGGTGGGTTGTCGTCGATGTGGCGGTCGACCACGCGTCGAAACTGGACCCAGTTGACTCGATGGTAGTCCTTCCGCTGGCACGGTGCAGGGGCCACGTTGTAGCCCAGCTCGGTCAGCACCGGTTGGTGGTCCGAACTCAGGTCGTTGACGGCAACCGGCTTGGCTAATCTGGTGTTTGCCAAGAACAGGTCCAGCGTCGATGGGTTGCCCGTCGGTGATGTGAAGGTTGGTTCGTCCGGAAACCAGACGGAATAGAGACCATGCTGGGAATGGTCGAATAGCAGGCGGCCGTTCTGGTTCTGCTGGTAGTTCCGCCAGGCCTCGTGCCGGGCGTTCAGGTCCCCTCCGATTACAAAGCGGGCATTGGTATGGGTTATGATGGCAAGGTCGTTCTTGAACTGCTGTGCTGTACCATTGCTAACGGTACATTGCCGGGGGCAGTAGACAACGATGAACCGGACGTTTCCGGTCGATGTTTCCACCTCAACGCCGACGGCCTCGATGATGGAAGTGCGGTAGTGGGGTAGGGTGCAGTACTTGATGCCTTTCTTGATGATGACCGCGACACCGCCCCCCCCTGGAGCTGGTGCGATCAAGCCGGACAATGCTGTGGTCGGGCAGCCAGAAGCTGTCACCGGTCTTGAGGTGGGTCTCGGTGAGAAGGCCCACGTCGATGTCGTGCTTGCGGAGGAAGTCTGCAAGCTCAATGTTTTTCGCCCCTACGGAGCGAGCGTTCCAGTTGGCGATCTTTATGGGTTCACGGTCCATAATTAGCGACGAAGGAGATGATAGCTTGGAGCTGTTGTGTTCTTGTTGCGCAGGTGCGCTTGATGATGATGGCCTGGGCCAACAGTGTGACGATCTCATCCGTTGACAGCGGAGAATCGTCTGTAGCTTCACCGGTTGTACCGGCCAATCCCGGAGCAGGGGGATCCGTCGATGGCCCGGAGGCTTGACCGGGTACTGCAGCGGCAGCCAACTGTTGGTTGAGCGGGAGCGGCGGCAACACTGGAATTGGCCGTGATTGGACCGGTGATAACGGAGGAAAGTTCTGCGCGTTGTTTTCTGGAACCTTCTTGCGACCGGGCTGGCTGTTGGACGAGGCCTTCTTCCGGATCTCGGCGTATTCGGCCCGCTTCGGACAGGCCTTACTCGTGGCCTTGTGGGCGGCACCGCAGTTGGCGCATATGGGAGCGGCTTCCTCGATGCTGTCGCAGTTGTCGATCTTGTGGTTTTTGCCGCATTTGATGCAGCGGCTGGCCATGCGGCAATTCCTGGTGCCGTGCCCGAACAATAGGCAGTTCGAGCACTGAGTGACGCCACGGTGGGTGGGTTTATACCGCTCCCACTTCACTACGATGTGGAACAGTGTGCGTGTCGTCTGGAGATCCTTCACGGTTGTGGAGTTCTTCTCCAGATGGACCAGGTAGAGCTGGTCACGATACTTGATGGCCTTGCTGCGGGTCATCTTGTGGACTTCGACCGGCTTGAGGCCGTTCGCCTTAATCTCGTCCATTAAGGTGGTGGTGTCCATGTCGTGGAGCCCGCGCAGCACCACTTTCAGCGGCTTGGTGGCCTCGATGTCGTGGGAGAAGTACTCCAGCTTCATTCTGTCCAAGAGGGCCTGAACTGCGTTGAAGTGTTTTTCGGCCGGGACCATCAGTTTGTAGCCTTCCGTGCACCGTTGAATGGTGCAGCGAAGGCCCTGCTTAATGTAGAAATCCAGCTGCTCCCATAGCCCGGGAGGGAAGCCCTTCACATAGAAGGGTGGCAACTTAACTTTTTTCGGCACCGTCTCAGGGTCCGACTGCGGCTGCGCTCCGTTCTGCAGGGCGGAGAACGGATTGTTGCTCAGCAGCTTTTTTGCTGCTGATACGGTGGCGCTGCTGTCTTCAGGTCTGGGTCGTTTAGTTCCGGGAGGCCCCGGCTGCGGGTCCGCAACGCCTGTCGGGATGGGCAATGGGGTTTTCTTCTGCTTCTTCTGGGCTGGCTCGGTGGTCGCGCCGTCTCCTGGGAGAGTCTGTTTTCCCGGTAAACCGGCACTCGCGTTACCGCGCGATTTCTTACCCATGGCTGGGTCAGCGAGAGCGTGTCCTCGTTTCTCTGTTTTGCATGAGCTTATATAGGCACATATGCTTCTTCTTATTTTCTTTTTTTTCGTAACAGTAGGCGCTCGGCAGCCGTTCGGATTACGGAGCAATGGGCGATCGTACATAGCAATGAGCGATTTCATTTTTGTTTTCGATCAAAATATAAAATTCATTTAAATTTTGAAACTACAATTTAAGAAAATAGATTATTATTTCTTATTCCACTCTCCACTACCACAATCCCTCTCACCCCTACTCTCTAATAAATAAACTCAAATTGGTTTCAAGTATCCTTTCAAGTTTATGACGCATTGGAATGTGTGTTGAGTAAACGTCTTTTTGCTGGTAATGGTTCTCTTAATTCGAAGAATAAATTTCAGAGGTAGTTTTACAAACTTTTAAATACCTTTTTCCAGACGTTTAAAACGTATCAAAGATTTCATTTAGCAAGTGTAATATGGAGAAGCGGAAAGTGTCAGGATGGTTTCCTCTACAGGAAAGTAGTTTCAGTGGTTCGCAATATGAGTTACAGAATACAATGGACAAAATTGTCAAGGACGAAGCAGGAATTTGAAAAAAATTTCAAAGAATTTCAAAATCAACTATTAACGAGTATAAGCGGCTCCTTGTATCGATCAAACGGGGCTATGGTATCGGAAAATCTCGAAAAAGAAGAAGAAGAATTATAGTTTGATTATTTTGAACAAGCCGTTTATTCAGTAAAATCTAATTTATTTATTTAACAAATTTGATAATTCATAGTTTCCAATCAATTCACCCTTGTTATCTAACTATAAATGTTATACAAAACCATATCTCTCAAATGATTCGGCATCCTCCTTTCTCGTTGCGGTCGAGACACAGTAGAATTTCCGCTTTCCATTTGCCCTCTGTTTCCTTTATCGTCTTGAGGTTCAGCTGCAGGGATAAAATAAATCTTAGGAAATAAACTCACATATTATTATAATTATCATACCAATTATCAGACTTTGATGATTGTCTATATCAGAATTTCCGCTTTCAATTTGCCCTCTGTTTCCTTTATCGTCTTGAGATTCACCTGCAGGGATTAAATAAATCTTAGAAAATAAACTCACATATTATTATAATTATCATACCAATTATCAGACTTTGATGAATGCCTACATCAGACCCTTGATTTTGAGAACCGCTGGTGGAAGATGTTCCATGTTCTTCATCATCATTGTCGGCAAGATTCCGAAAATTACCCGAAAAGTCTTCACTTCGGTCTTCATATTCTTCAAATGCTCGTTTTGCATCTCCTACGTTTCTTGTGTATAGGACACCTCGGTTGCTTCTGACGACTATTTTAGCTCCTTCTCTTGCTACTATCGTAAACTTTTCTGGGCTAAACGTTGGATCCGATTTATTCCGCTTGATTTGTAATAATATAACCTTATCACCTACGGAAAGATCGGAATCTCTGGCGTTCCTTTGAAAATCAGCATTTTTCTTGCTCTTTAGTTTTGAAAATGCATCCTTTTCTCTAACCTCTTCTCTATCCAGTTCTTCTGAAGGGTCAGCTTTCCATAACTTAGGGAATGTTCCCCTGAATTTCCACCCAACTAGCAACTCAAATGGCGTTACACCCAATCGAGTGTGTGGACGCACCTTGTTATGCATGTGTATATACTTCTCTAGGGCAAATTTCCAATTTGTTCCATCCAACTTAGAGGCTGTCAACGCTCGTTTTATCCCTTCATTTTGCCTTTCAACGGCTCCGTTGGATTGAGGGCTCAGGGGAATGGATTTGCGAATTTTTATGCCTTTATTTTCCCAGGTTCGCACAAACTTGTTGCTTTGGAATGGGGGACCATTGTCACTTTGTATTACCAGTGGATAACCCCATTCAGCAAAGATCTTATGTAAAGCTTTGATTGTTGATTCTGCATCCATGTGCTTCATCTCTATGACATGCAAGTAACGTGAATACGTATCCACAACTATGAGGAATTCGCCAAATCCAAACTCTTTGTTGGTAAAAAGTCAATTTGTAATATCTCCCAAGGACCATACGGAAGTTCTCTGTTGATTAGTGGAATAGGTGGGTTCTTTTTTGAGAGCAAAAGGCACGTTTCACAGCGCTTGATAAATGATTCTACCGCTGTACTCATACCTGGCCACCAAAAATAATCACGCAGAATTCTTTTAGTAGAACCAATTCCCATATGGCCCTGATGAGCCGATTCAATGGCCTTTGTTCTTAAAGCATTAGGAAGAACAATTTTGTCGTTTTTGAAGACTGAACTACCGGATACGCTAAGCTCCTTAGCTTGTGATTCATATCTGCGTAGACCATCCTCCCAGCAACCTGTCTCCATCGATGTTCTCACCTTCTTTAGTTCGGTGTCTCTTTCTGAGTATTTTTCAATCTCGCTCCAGGAGATTTCTATAGCACCAGCATCAATAAAATAGAGCAAATGATTGTCATCAGCTTCACTATCAAATGACTCAACTGGTTGTGTTTGTTTAACCAGCCTGGACAAAGCATCTGCGACATTCATTTCACCTGCGATTCTTTTAACACTGAAGTTGTATGGCTGTAAACGCAACGCCCAAGACTCTGCTCTGGTCACTGCTCTTTTCCCGATTCTGTGTAGACCTCCAAAAATGAACTCGTTGGATTCAGCATCCGTTCTAATTGTAAAATGTATACTCATTAGGTACACCGAAAATCTTTCGACCGCCCAGACCATTGCCAAGGCTTCTTTTTGTGTCTGGGGATACTTCTGCTCCGTAGTAGATAGGGCCTTAGAAGCACAGGCGATCACTCTCGGTTTAGACTCGATGTCAAATTGTACTAGAACGGCCCCCAGGCCAAAGGGAGAAGCATCCACGAATAATTCAGTACGGTCTTCTCTCCGGAAATATCCAAGGGTAGTGATTGCTTTCCATGCTGAATTCTTTAGAAACTCGAATTCATCATCCAACTCTTCATTCCAGTAATAAATTCCAGATTTTGCTAATGAGCGAAGTCTAATCGTTTTGTCTGCTCTGTGGGGAATGAACTTTTCGACAAAATTCACCAATCCTAAGAAGCTTTTCACTTCTGCTAATGATTCCGGATGTCTAAAATTCTTTAAGGCTGAAATTTTCTCATCTTCGATTTTCCAACCTTCGGCAGATACTACGAATCCAAGAAAGTTGACAGATTGCTTTTCAAAAGCGCACTTTGACTCATTTATTTTTACGTTATGATTTTGCAAGCTCTTCACCTGTGCTAAATTTTCATCATGCTCTTGTTTTGTTCGGCCAAAAATCATTATGTCGTCCAAATAATTAACCTGTCCTTTACATCCAGCTAGAACTACTGTTTGTAGAGCCTCTTGAAATATATCAGGGGCATTTGTTAATCCGAAAGGAAGTCTGCGATAACGGTAGAGTCCATCTCCCGCGAAAAAATTAGTTAGATGACGGGATCCTTCGTCTAACTCAATATGGAAAAATGCGTTTGTTAGATCAACAGTGGAGAACCATTTGGCACCATGAAGCTCCATAAGAATCGACTCAAGTGTGGGCATTTTGAAAGGTGTTCGGTAGATACATCGATTAGGTCCTCGTAAGTCGATGACAAGTCGAATATTGTTCTTGCCTTTAGGTATCACCAAAAGTGACGAGCAGAATGAACGATCCATGTCCATAGTGACTTTCTCAATAATACCGCTCGATAATAGGTAATTTAGCTTCTGTTTCGCTAGTTCCTTATACGCCACTGGGATGTTGGTGTACACAATTCGTGCTGGAGGCATGTCAGTGTTGTACTTTAAAGACACCGGAGGAATGTTAAATTTAGGAAATTCTTCAATTGAAACTGCATGAGCGTAGAGTGTATCACGTTCAAAAACTTGAAGTTGTTGTTGTCGTATTGGTACATCCAAACCAATATTAAGAACAGAGTATCTGATTGCCGTATTGAAACCCAAAAGTGCTCTTAACTCATCCACAACATAAAACTTCTCTACCATCACTGGTCTATCGTCCGAGATGAACAATGCAGCAGAAAAATTGGCAACTACTTTGATGTGCTCTTTCATAGCATATGCTTTCAAGGGTTTGCTAGACGAAGACTGTAAGCTAAGGATTTGAGATGAAGCGTTCTTGTCAGCTAAAATCTTATTAAATGATGCCTTAGTTATAGTGTTGACTTGAGCACCAGAGTCTATTAAAAATGCAATCTCAACTCCAGCTACTTTTGCCTCAATCATTGCATCGTTTTCATTGGGTGCTTTATAACTGAACGAAGATTGTAGATGATTCACTGCTCGTTTATAAGATTCTGCGATTTTTTGTTGTTCGATCATTTTCTAAAAAATTGTAGCAATTATTAGCAATAAGCATTTAATTTTTATTGATACTTTTCAGATGTTCTGTTAACAAATTAAGTTTATTCACATTCAAAAAAAATAGGTTCAAAATGTTACCCAATCAAAAAAAAAAAAATTACTCAATATCTTCATCATTTTCGCGTACCTTCGTGTCCAACTCAGCTTCGGTTTTTCCACACTCGATGGCTGCAACTTTTCGCTCAACAACTGCCTCCTCTTGCTCTGCATGACGCTTCAATGGTCTACTCTGGTCTCCTGTAGAATTTGATGGACAAACACGTGCAATATGACCCATTTGTCTACAAACTCGACACTCTTTCCTGATCGCAAAACACTCAGATGCTCGGTGGTAAACGCTTCCACATCTCCAGCAATTGGAACTAAAATTGGGACGATGATTTCCTCTCGAGAATCCTCTTCCTCCTCTTCCACCACCACGGTTTGCTCGTTGAAATCCTCTTCCTCTTCCATTTGAATTAAACGCTACATGATTGTTGCGGAATCCATATGACACTGCTGCTACCAATGATGCCTCTCCATGGCCATGAACTTTTTGGAACTCTTCCTCGTTGGTTTTCTCAATCTCTCGATCTCGTACCAGGTCTATTAGGTCCTTCATCGTTCCTTGTTTCACCCAATTCCGATGGGCTAGGATCCTTACCCTTCCATCACTGGCACCTTTTGTAACCACCCTTACTACAGCTTCCATTTCCTCGTCGATCCCATAATTGCACAGTTTTGCTGCAGAAGCCACGCGTTGAACAAATGCAATACTACTTTCAGAGGAGCCTTGACTTATCATCATGAGTCTTCCTCGCTGCGACAGTGTGTACGTTCTTGAACCGTAGTACTCATCCAGTCGAGCCAATGCGTTTGAAAATGGAGCTATTTTTTCATCGGGCATTCCTGGTGTCGAAGCTGTTGTTTGGAATATTTCTCGAAGCTTTGGCCCTGATTTGACTTTAAACACCCCAAATTTCGATTGCTCGTCAACAGCGTTAATAAGCTGCAGTGATGAAACGAGTATGTCTTTCCAGTACTCGAATGCACGTTTGTCAATCTCGGTTTCACCTAGCGATGGTGTACATTCCGGTATGTTGAGGGAGCCCAGCGTCCAACTGTTCATTGTGGAAAGTAACGAGTCTTCACGAAAAGTGCTCGATGCAGCATGACGGAAGTCATTGTCATAGCCAGCTGTCAAACTTGCCACTTTCTCACGAAGAGCATTGTTCTTGTCGAGCGCCTCCTTTAACTCCTTCATAATTTTCTTCTTTGAAGGCGTCCTGTAACGAAACATCAATATTCTTTAGCTCGTCGTTCGCTCTTATCTATACATTTTTTTTTTTAGCACTCCGTCTATTTCCATCGGAGCCTTCGTCGGAGCAATCCGTCTATCTCCATCGGATTATGTTTGTTTCCTTTTTTTTTAATTGGGACTCCGCCTTTTTCATCGGAGCCCAACATAAACTAAATGAAACTTACTTTGTGGGAGCCAAAGGTCCACTATCTCTTGCGCCATTGTCGCGACCGTCCATTATTTCTTCCTCCATATGGAGGTTTTGATACTGGCTTGATTGATGGGCGCTACTGTCGAGCAGTCCCGGTCAGGGTATCACCCTGCGACTGATGATTAGATCTTCGAAGCCGCAGTGAGGGAAACTCTTCAAAAGCCCTCACTGTGGATGCCACAGAAGCTGTGGTTGCTGGATGGGCACTACTGTTGAGTAGCCTCGGCCCGGATGTTGATGCTGGATGGGCGCTACTGTTAAGTAGCCTCAGCCCGGGTGTTGTTGTTGCTGGATGGGCGCTACTGGTTAGTAGCCTCGGCCCGGATTTGATTCACTGTCGTTGTTGCTGGATGGGCTCGTGATGGAGGCCCGCTGCTGTATTTGCTATCTGCTGCTGTATTTGCTATCTGCTGCTGTATTTGATATTTGCTGCTGTATCTGCTGCTGGTTCTTGGTGCTGCCGCTTCCAAGTCTGCCGTAATTCTCCTCGTTTCTCTTAGTTTAAATGATCTTTATTTTAGTTTAACTTGGACGATTACCATATAAATTTTTACTAAGTGATTTAATTGCTTTCTTCATCTTTAGGTATGGGCAAAATTTAAAATTTGTTTTACAGGATTAGTCCTAGACTTAGTACACGGTCGACCACCTTGGTGGGATTGGTTTGTTTTGTTTTTAGAATTTGAAGAGAAACTACTTAATACTACTATTTACAGCTTAAAACTAACCTACTCTACTATATACACTTAACCTACTATGTACAAATTGCTTATTAAAGCATGTTCAGAAAGATTGCATTTTTGAATAAATTTAGTTGTCATATCATCAATTTTGGAATCTACTTTGGGAATTTCTGCCTCTTGATGGAGGTCTGCTATTCTTGTGTCGAATGGACGATCTAGGATCATCCTCAACACTCTATTCTGTGCAACCTGGATTTTGTTCCTGTGGGTCTGAGCGCACGATTCCCACACCGGGGCGGCATATAAGATCGCGGGGGCTATGATCTGTTTGTAAACAGCCAGTTTGTTTTGCCTTGAGAGGCGGGATCTGCGGCAAATGAGCGGATACAAACACCTAACCAAGACGGAGCACTTAACTAGGGTTTTCTCTATGTGCGAGCGGAACAGGAGCTTCTCATCGAACAACATCCCGAGATAAGTAACATCAGTGGACCACTCGACCCTTGTACCATCCATTATTACGGTACAGGAGGGAGACGGTTTAAGTTTTGGTGATTGTCTGTGAAGGAACATGATCGCTTGGGTTTTCGAGGCGTTGATTTTGATTTTCCACGAGGTGGCATAATCAGTAAAGGTGTCAAGGCATCGTTGCAGCTTGTTCGTAATTTCACGAGGCATCCTACCCTTGACGGCTATCGCGGTGTCATCTGCGAACAGAAAGAACACGCAACCGTCTCCTAGAGGAGGGATGTCCGACGTGTAGATGCTGTAAAGCAGTGGTCCCAGCAGACTCCCTTGCGGAACACCTGCTGGGATCGGAAATTGTCCCGAAAGGGAACTATTCAACGACACCCTGAACGACCTTTGCTGGAGATAGTTACGGGTGATTTTCACAAGGTATGGTGGAAAGTTGGAGTTACAAAGCTTGTATATAAGTCCGTCGTGCCAGACATTGTCAAACGCCTTTTCGACGTCTAACAAGGCCATGGCTGTGGACTTGGATACAGCTTTGTTACTTCGGATGTTATTCATCACCCGCACTAGCTGATGATTGGTGGAATGCCCCTTGCGGAACCCGAACTGTTCCGGAAGAAGAATGTCATGTTCCTCCACAAGCTTGTTTAGTCGGCTGAGGATCAATTTTTCGAACAGCTTGCTCAGCGCTGAGAGCAGGCTAATCGGTCTGTAGCTTGACGGTAGTGAAGGGTCTTTCCCAGGTTTGCGGATCGGGATGATTTTTGCCACCTTCCAGATGCTTGGAAAGTAGTGCAGCTCCAAGCATCTGTTGAGGATGGCAGCCAGCAGCGAGTGGACCCTCGGGCTGAGATTTTTCAACGCTAGGTTGAATATTCCGTCAAACCCGGGAGCCTTCATGTTTTTACTATATTTCAGCGCTGAGCAAATTTGTTCCTCTGTAATCCGTTCTTCTGGAGGGACGGCACAAGGGGAGGTATCTAACGTCTGGACGCACTGCACAACCTGGTTCTCGAGTGGACTTGGGATTGTAGAGCCAAGCAAATGTGATTGGGCAATGTGCTCCCCAATTGCATTGGCCTTCTCTTCGTTGGTGATAAGCCGTTCGTCATTGACTCTAAGTGGTGGAATGGGCTTGGGGTGAGACTTCAGCACCTTGGCAACCTTCCAGAATGGTCTGGAACGGTCGTCCAGGTTCTGAACGAGCCGCCCGAAACTCTCGTTCCGGATTGAGACCATTCTGGAAGCGATCTGCCGATTCAGATCGACCATTTCGTATTTACGCTGCAGATCCCCAGTCCGCTGAAACTGGCGTCTACGAACATTTCTGAGCCGAATCAAGAGTTTGGTGTGGGAATCAATTGCTTGAAACTTACCCCTCACAGGAACTCGTCGAACGCACTCTTCGTCAGCCACGGATATGGCTTGATGGAGACCCTCCAGGGCCCGGTCGATGTCCTCCACTGTGTCGAGTGGTGGGTTGTCGTCGATGTGGCGGTCGACCACGCGTCGAAACTGGACCCAGTTGACTCGATGGTAGTCCTTCCGCTGGCACGGTGCAGGGGCCACGTTGTAGCCCAGCTCGGTCAGCACCGGTTGGTGGTCCGAACTCAGGTCGTTGACGGCAACCGGCTTGGCTAATCTGGTGTTTGCCAAGAACAGGTCCAGCGTCGATGGGTTGCCCGCCGGTGATGTGAAGGTTGGTTCGTCCGGAAACCAGACGGAATAGAGACCATGCTGGGAATGGTCGAATAGCAGGCGGCCGTTTTGGTTCTGCTGGTAGTTCCGCCAGGCCTCGTGCCGGGCGTTCAGGTCCCCTCCGATTACGAAGCGGGCATTGGTGCGGGTTATGATGGCAAGGTCGTTCTTGAACTGCTGTGCTGTACCATTGCTAACGGTACATTGCCGGGGGCAGTAGACAACGATGAACCGGACGTTTCCGGTCGATGTTTCCACCTCAACGCCGACGGCCTCGATGATGGAAGTGCGGTAGTGGGGTAGGGTGCAGTACTTGATGCCTTTCTTGATGATGACCGCGACACCGCCCCCCCTGGAGCTGGTGCGATCAAGCCGGACAATGCTGTGGTCGGGCAGCCAGAAGCTGTCACCGGTCTTGAGGTGGGTCTCGGTGAGAAGGCCCACGTCGATGTCGTGCTTGCGGAGGAAGTCTGCAAGCTCAATGTTTTTCGCCCCTACGGAGCGAGCGTTCCAGTTGACGATCTTTATGGGTTCACGGTCCATAATTAGCGACGAAGGAGATGATAGCTTGGAGCTGTTGTGTTCTTGTTGCGCAGGTGCGCTTGATGATGATGGCCTGGGCCAACAGTTTGACGATCTCATCCGTTGACAGCGGAGAATCGTCTGTAGCTTCGCCGGTTGTACCGGCCAATCCCGGAGCAGGGGGATCCGTCGATGGCCCGGAGGCTTGACCGGGTACTGCAGCGGCAGCCAACTGTTGGTTGAGCGGGAGCGGCGGCAACACTGGAATTGGCCGTGATTGGACCGGTGATAACGGAGGAAAGTTCTGCGCGTTGTTTTCTGGAACCTTCTTGCGACCGGGCTGGTTGTTGGACGAGGCCTTCTTCCGGATCTCGGCGTATTCGGCCCGCTTCGGACAGGCCTTACTCGTGGCCTTGTGGGCGGCACCGCAGTTGGCGCATGTGGGAGTGGCTTCCTCGATGCTGTCGCAGTTGTCGATCTTGTGGTTTTTGCCGCATTTGATGCAGCGGCTGGCCATGCGGCAATTCCTGGTGCCGTGCCCGAACAATAGGCAGTTCGAGCACTGAGTGACGCCACGGTGGGTGGG